TGAGAACAACTTTCATTTCCCAAGATAGTCATAATAATCCCCCCTCTGTATTCACACCCCTTTCAGTGTAGCTTGACAACCTCTCCCCATCAAGAGATGGACTCTGTGTACATTTCCCTCTCCTCTGGGGTGGCCTGCTGACTGACTTTGGCCAATAGAATGTGGTGAAATGACTTTTCTGAGCTAGGGCTTCTCCTTGCTCTTTTGGGACTCTGCGACCACCATTTAAATAAGCCCATGTTACCCTGATGGATGAGGAGAAACACATGGCCTCATTATTCCTGTCATGTTGCCCTAGATGACAGCTGGCCCACCACAGAGCTGTGCAAAGGGCCAACTGAGATGAACTAGACCCAACATAACCAACAGCTGAATGCAGATGCATGAGTGACCCCATCTGAAACAAGAACTGCCCAACTGAATCCAGCCTGAATTGCCAACCTTAAATGGTTGTTTTAAGCCTGGGCATTTTGAGGTGCGTTGTTACATAGCAATAGTTAAGTAATACATTCCTTGAAGGCAGGAACAGTGTCTTTTTCAATATTAAGAACAATGTCTTTTTTAATAATAAGAATATTGGTAGGGACCAATAAAATGAATAAAATAAGATACAATTGCCTGGCTTGCATGGCTAAGTGGTTAAGCATCAACCTATGAACCAGGAGGTCACAGTTCGATTCCCAGTCAGGGCACTTGCCCAGGTTCCAGGCTTGATCCCCAGCGTGGGGTCTGCAGGAGGCAGCCAATCAATGATTTTCTCTCATCACTGATGTTTCTATATCTCTCTCCCTCTGTGAAATCAATAAAAATCTACTCATTAGTTTTTAATTAAAAAGGGTCAAATCATTGTAGGCTGGCACTAGATTGTACCTATTGACTAAAATCAGATCTCTGCCACTGTCCTGTCACCTCACTCCAATGTCCTATTTCTCAGTCCCGATGCCAACTTCTGTTATAACCCTTCAGTGACACAGTGCAAAGTGAAGGCTTGTTCTTAGCTCACTGTTCCATTTCCCAGCTGGCTTTCTGGAATGGGGCCACTTATTCCATTTCCCCATGCTTATTTCTTAAGAACAGGCTAATGTTCCTAGATGGGTATTTTCTACTATTTGGGTCACACTGTGTTTTTGTGCATGCACCATGAGCTATCTGTTCTGCTCTGAAAAATCTAACAACCTTTCCCTCTTACTTTTGAAACAGATACTAAGCAAGAATAAAGGGTCAAATGCAAAGGCTCACTTTCCAGGGCTGGCACTGAATCGTGACAGTGCCTAGTACAACTGTCAAGGTCAGAAAAAAAAGGCTTCTCTTCACCCAAATATATCAAGGGTCCAAAGATAACACATAAAACAACATTAAAAGACTCAGTGCAGGGGGTTGGATAGCATGGGGAGTCAGATAAACTGGGGTTAGGGCTCTGAAGCTACGCTGGCCTGAATTCAATCCAGGTATTCTCATTTATTAATTTTTGCTTGCACATTAAACAGGACACTTTACTTTTCTGAACCCATTTCCCAGTCTTCAAAATAGAATTAATAATATCTGTGTGGTTGATGATGATATTGGTCAAAAGAGCCACTATCCCTCTCTGGTGGCCTTTCTCTGTGGTGTTCCTCCCCATGAGATGATTACACATAATCACCCTGATATATGCAGGAAGGCATGTCATTTGTTTGGCCAATAAATGAGAGCACAAGTTCCATGAGTCTCTTCTCAGTGCTTAAGAGTGAGCTAGTAGTTCATGTTTCCATTTCCTCTGCCATGAAACTAGCAATGTCCTAGATAAGGGCCTGTCAGCCTACATCCAGGTGTCAAAGACATAGAGCAGAGCCATAGCTGATTCAAAATGGATATGCGATGTGAGAAATGAACCTATTTTATTGATAGCCACTAAAATTTTGAGACTGTTAGTCACTATAGCATAACTTATCCTACACTGTCTGATAAACCTGTGAGGCCAAAACAGAAGGGGGAAAAAAAAAAAAAAAATATATATATATATATATATATATATATATATATATATATATAGTATATATATTATATATATACACACACACTATGTTACTTTAATATATAAATATGAATTTATAATACATATATACTATATGTTATATATAAATATCATATATACACTGAGTGGCCAGATTATTATGACCGGTCAGACAGATTATTATGACCACCCCATCAGTACAATGAAGTGAATTAGTTATGCAAATAATATTAATAATAAAACCTTGAGAGTATTTGCTTAGGAAGTTTTCAATATTCAGTATTTTTGGAAGTGTCAATGAAGTACTGATGGGGTAGTCATAATAATCTGGCCACTCATAATAATCTGGCCACTCAGTGTATATAAATATAACCGTAATATATATATATATATATATATTAAAGAAAGGCATAGTGTACCTGACATATAATAAATTGTAGCTGCAACACTGTTATGGTTATTTCAAACAACACCTCTAGTTATGACACTGGAGAGCTTAATTCTCTACCTTTTTTCCTAGCCATTTGACCTTTTCCTCGTTGGGTTCATAGAGCAGTAAATCCTTCTCCCTACTGACACCTGGACCATTATAGGTTTTTTGGCAGGGCTGCCACATTGTGAAAGCCCAGGAGGCTGTCACTGGTAGTCTATGTCAGTGGTCGGCAAACCGCGGCTCGTGTAACTTGCTGTTACATAGTAACTTGCTGTTACTATGCAGCAAGCCATTTACCTCTCAGCACCTTAGTTGCATATTCTGGACAATGTGGAGTTCAAAGATTGCTCACTAAGACCCCTTCTACTTCTACACATGCGGCTCTTTGGCCCCTTGAGTGTGGCTCTTCCACAAAATACCACGTGCAGGCGTGCACGTACAGTGCGATTGAAACTTCATGGCCCATGCGCAGAAGTCGGTTTTCGGCCTGGGCAAGTCTATTTTGAAGAAGTGGCGTTAGAAGAAGTCGGGGGTGGACATATAGAGAGGATGAATGAAAGGAGATGGATGAAACAAGTATACAAGACGAGTGTGGATGTGAGAGTTCGAAGGGGTCGACCTCAGCGAACGTACCTCAATCAGATTGAGGATGTTTTTAGCAAAGGTCAGTTTAGGAGTACCCTAATTAAGTTAATAACAATGTACCTACCTATATAGTTAAAGTTTAAAAAATTTGGCTCTCAAAAGAAATTTCAATCATTGTACTGTTGATATTTGGCTCTGTTGACTAATGAGTTTGCCGACCACTGGTCTAGGTGAACAGTGCTCTCAGGAGTGGGGACTGTGAACAGCTCTATGTGCGGGCCTGCTCCTTAGCTGAGTGTATGACCATTTTTGGGATCTGAAACCTGCTCACATCTCTTGCCAAACGACCAATTCTCTACACAGGACAATCTGCATGTCTTTATATAAAGTACCCGAGGCCCAATGCACGAAATTCTTGCAATAGTGGGCCCTTCTTTACCTGGTTGCTGGCACCGGCTTCCCTCTGGCACCAGGGACCCAGGCTTCCCTCCAGCCACCAGCTTCCAGAAGGACGTCCAGTCCAATTAGCATATTACACTTTTATTATTATAGATGTTTTCTGCAAGAAAAGTCTAATCACACCTGGCAGACTCAACTTTGATGTCAACTCCTCAATGACTCTCCCAGTCAGTTGCTCCCTCCTCCATCCATTCTCTGAGAATGTTAGTCAAAAATTTTAATTTGCTATTGCCATGTAATCTCCCCAATTATACTCAGCTTTGCAGAGACGATTGTGCCTTGCTCACACAGGTTCAGTACCTAATGGTTTTGATGCATAGTAGATGCTCAGAGAATGTTTGTTGAAACTCTGGGTGGGGAGGAGCCAAGGGACTGAGGCAGAGCAGAAATATTAATGCTTCAGTGTGTCAGAAGTTTCTGTTACTATGCAGCAAGCCATTTACCTCTCAGCACCTTAGTTGCATATTCTGGACAATGTGGAGTTCAAAGATTGCTCACTAAGACCCCTTCTACTTCTAAAAATCTGACCTGGAGGGAAGAACTTCTCAAAGGGCAAAGTGATCTCCTAAAATTCACTCCTCTGTTAAAACCCTGAGAAGACTAGCAAACTTGTCAAAATCAACATTTCCAGAACTATGGAGATTAACTGAATTTTTGCAACAATCTGAGCACTTAAGAAAAAAAAAAAAAAGCCGGACCTCAGTAAGAAGTGATCTCTGTGGCATTTTAAAATAGCCAAAGCAATCCTGAAAAAGAAAATTTAGGACTCATATTTCCTAATTTTAAAACTTACTACAAAGCTATAGTAATCACAATTGTGTGGTACTGGCACAAGGGCAGACATGTAGACCAATGCACCAGACTTTCAGTGTTTAGGAATAAAAGCATTCAGGAAAGGTCAGGTGATTTTCAACAAGGGCGCCAAGACAATTCAATGGAGAAAGAATAATCTTTTCAAAAAGCTGTAAAAATTATCTCAAAATACGTAAAAATAATCTCAAAATGGCTCACAGACTAGTATAGGATGTAAACTTATAAAGGTCCTAAAAGGAAGCATAGAAGGAAATCTTCCTGACTTTGGTTTTCTTAAATATAACACCAAAAGCAAAAGTAAAAAAGAAAAAAATTGATAAACTGGAATTTGTCAAAATTAAAATCTTTTCTATAAACAAAACTTCCAAAAGAATGAGGGGACAGTCCACAGGAGAGTATAAAATTATTTATAAGTCACATACCTAATAAGAATTTGGATCCACAATAAATAATAATACAAAAACAAACAGACTAATTAAAAAACTGAAAAATTTGAATAGGCTTTTCTTTAAAGACTAGAGGCCCAGTGCACAAAATTTGTGCACTTGGGGGAGTGCTTTGTGTGTGTGTGTGTGTGTGTGGGGGGGGGGTCCTCAGCCAGGCCTGCACCCTCTCACAGTCCAAGAGCCCTCAGGGGATGTCTGACTGCTGGCTTAGGCCCACTCCCCATGGGAAGTGGGCCTAAGCCAGCAGTTGGACATCCTTAGCGCTGCTGTGGAGGCAGGAGAGACTCCTGCCACTGCTGCTGCGCTCGCCTGCTGTGACCCCACGGATGCACGATTGGAACTGGGGAGGGACATGGGAGGTTGGCCAGTGGGAAGGGTGTGCGGGAGGGCTCCAGGGCGTGTCCAGCCCATCTCACTCAGTCCCAGTCAGCCAGACCCCAGCAGCAAGCTAACCTACTGGTTGGAGCATCTGCCCCCTGGTGGTCAGTGCACATCATAGCAAGCAGTTGATCAGCCTTAGCATATCATTAGCCTATTACGCTTTGATTTGTTGAATGGCCAATTGGACCAGACACATAGCATATTAGGCTTTTATTATATAGGATGATATAGATATGAATGAGTAATTAAATATCAAACTATGGTCAACCTCATTAATTATTAGGGAAGTGCCACTCAAAACTACAATGAGATACCACATCACACAGTAGGAGAGCTAAAATAATAACTATTTTAGGTGAGTATGTGGACACACTGGAACTCACATTGCTGGTGGAATTGTGAAATATTGCAGGCACTTTAGAAAACAGTCTGGAAATTCCTCAAAATGTTCAACAAGGATTTATTATATGACCCAGCAGCTGCATTCAGTATATCAGTTGAACTACTGTAAAAAAATACTATAAACTGGGTATGTTATATACAACAAGAATGTTTTCCTCAGCAGGAGGCTGGAGGTTCAAGATGAAGGTGCCCACAAATCTGGTGTGTGGCAAGGGCCCACCTTCTGATTCAGGGCCAGCCCTTCTTGCTGTTTTCTCACATGGTGGGAAGGGAAGGGAGTTTTTCTCAGGCCTGTTATAAGGGCACTAATCCCATTTATGAGCCTTCATGACCTAATCACCTCCCAAAGGCCATACCTCCTAATTACTATCACCTTAGGGGGCAGGATTTCAACGTAAGAATTTTAGAGAGACATAATCAGACCGTGGTAGTATATATCCAAGATAAATGAAACCTATTTCCACACAAAAACGTGGGCATGAATGTTCATAGCAGAATTATTCAGAATAGCCAGAACCCGAAAATCCATCAACTGATGAACAACAAAATGTGGCACAAACATGTAACAAAATATTATTCAGCAATAAAAAGAAATGAAGTACTGATACATACTACAGAATGAATGAACCTTAAAAACATAATGCTTAAGGGTCTATTCACAAAAGCTCACATTTTGTATGATTCCATGCATATGAAATGTCCAAAATAGGCAGAGAAAGTAGACTAATGGTACCCCGGGCTGGGAGGAGAGGAGAAGCAGAGTAGAGGCTAATGGCTACAGGGTTTCTATTTGAGGTGATAAAATGTTTTTAGAGAATGGTGACGGTCACACAACTGTGAATATCCTGAAAACTTCTGACTTATACACTTTTTAAACGCGTTTATACGGTATGTGAATTTTATCTCAATGAAGCACTTATAAAAATGACTTGTGATGAAACCAAGAAAGAGGCTGAGGGGTAGTGCTGGTTAGTTGTGGGGCTGAAATAAAATATTGTGATCTGTTCATTTCTTGCCTATGCAGGTGCTCCTTCCATGCACTCCTCCAATTCCTTCAGAGCATCTTGAGACTGATTTCTACAGAAAATATTCTGCCCATCACCAGAAAGTCTAGTTCAGCTGGTAAATATTTGTTGACTTTGTGGAAGACAGTGTTCCACGTGCCATGGGGAAACAGAGATAAGCTATAATCCCTGACTTCAAGAAACTTAGTCTAGCTCTGGCCGGTTTTCTCAGTGGTTAGAGCAGTGGCCCGTGGACTGAAGGGATCCAGTTCAATTCCTGGTCAAGGGCATGTACCTAGGTTGCAGGTTCATCCCTGTCCCCGGTTGGGGCTTGAGCTAGAGGCAACCAATCGATGTGTGTGTCTCTCACATTGATGTTTCTCTCTTTCCCCCCTCATCCCTCCTTTCCCTTTTCCCCTCCTTTATACTCTAAAAATCAATGGAAAAAATATATTTGAGTGAGGATTATACATAAATAAACTTAGTCTAGGGACAGATGTTTTTAAAAAGTATGTAAGATCAACTAAGGTCACTAAGACAAAGACTTGAAGTTTTAGAAAAATGGATTTCTCACCTTGTTTGAGAAATCATGGAAGCATTTATGGAAGAGGGGAATGTTTAAGCTGAAGCAAGAGGTCTAAAATGTAGCATTTACCAGGTACTGAGAGCAAGTTGCTGCAGCCAGTTGAGCAAAGGATGGAGGGAGCACTTTGCCATCAGAACCATAGCCAGCTGAGAAACCACTGCAGCTCTAACCCTGGGCGTGTCACTGTGCAGGGATATGTCTGAGAGCTTCACCTCATTACATGTGTGTGATCCCACATCATGGGGAACTTCTAAGAAACACAGAACGTGTCCATTCAACCTATGCCTCTGAACAGAGCTGTCCATGAGAACCTTCTGTGATGACAGAAACGTTCTCTAACTGCACTGTCCAATATCGTAGCCATGGCCATGTGTGGCTGTAATGAGGAAATAAAATTTATGATTAAGTATCTATGTGGCTAGCAGCCCACATATTGGTCAGTGTAGGTCTAGAACAGCCATGGGCAAACTACGGCCCGCGGGCCGGATCCGGCCCGTTTGAAATGAATAAAACTATTGGAAAAAAAGACCGTACCCTTTTATGTAATGATGTTTACTTTGAATTTATATTAGTTCACACAAACACTCCATCCATGCTTTTGTTCCGGCCCTCCGGTCCACTTTAAGAACCCATTGTGGCCCTTGAGTCAAAAAGTTTGCCCACCCCTGGTCTAGAACCTTGAGTCGCTCTTAATGAACCACTCATAACATTACATGATGTCGAGCCAGTCCAGAAAGTAAAATTTAGAGCACTGTGGTCTTTGGGGATCATGAAGATCTACTTAACGTGAGACAGAACTTCACTTTTGTCTCCACCTTTGCATACCTGGCACATTAACTTTACTCTTGGCATTAAACAAACACTTATTGAGCCCCATTAACACCAAGGTTAAAGTTAAACCTTTTCAAAACATAATCCAAGAACATGGAGCATCTGCACTTTTCAAAAACTTTCACAACTTATTTTGACAAGCCTGTGCAGATCCTATATAATAAAAGGCTAATATGCACGGCAGAACCACAGGTCACTATGATGTGCACTGACCACCAGGAAGCAGACGCTCAACACAGGAGCTGACATGCACTGATCATCCACAGTAGTGCTAGGGATGTCCGAATGATGGCTTAGGCCTGCTCCCCCTACCCCACCCCCTGGAAAGCAGGCCTAAGCCATCACTTAGACATTCGCCAAGGGCTCCTGGACTGCAAGAGGGCACAGGCCAGGCGGAGGGACCCCCCCGCCGCCCCTCCCGGCCCAGTGCACGAATTTTGCACACCAGGCCTCTAGTAGGGAAATAAAATAAGATGTCAGAAGAGAGAGACACCAAAATAAACTAGCTATAAAAAACTGCTTGCTTAGAGAAATATGGACTACAGGTCCGTAACTGATATGGCTAGGTGGTGATTTCAAGGATGCAAGTCCTTTCTTCATTGTTGGTCCACTGTCCTTGATAGTCACCTTCAGGCCATGGCATTCTAGAAGGGGAAAGGGCTGAAACAAACATACCCATTCTTCTAATAGGCACACATCACTACTATTCACATTTCTTCGGCCGGAACTTAGTGAAATCACCTAGTTATAAGAGAGTCCAAAAAGTACTTATTCCCCCCCCGCAGATGTAAGGTAAATGTAACAAGCTAAAATATGGTGTTCTATTACAAAAAGACAAACGAGAGAATGGAAATTGAGAGATGAGTAGCAGTCTCTGCCAAAGAAAGCACAGAAATGTTTTGAATTCCACAATAATGCAAAATGCCTAGATTCCAGTGGTGAAACTGGAGATGTAACTGGGCAAACCAAAAAATTACTTTTACACATCTACTCATTGACCAAAAAAAACCCTCAAACATAGAACAAAATTTAAAAATTAGCCCTGGCTGGCTTGGCTCAGTGGATAGAGAGTCGGCCTGCAGACTAAAGGGTCCCGGGTTCAATTCCGGCCGAGGGCGCATGCCTGGGTTGCAGGCTCGATCCCCAATGGGGGGCGTGCAGGAGGCAGTCGATCAATGATTCTCTCTCATCACTGATGTTTCTATCTCTCTATCCCTCTCCCTTCCTCTCTAAAATCAACAAAAATATATTTTAAAAAAATTAAATTAGTGCTATTTATTTTCCTTTTCTGATCTAAATATTTTAAGTCTTATTTAAAGCAAATTAAACATGCACCTGTACCTAATAAAAATCAATCATAACCATCACACAGAATCAGAAACTTTATTTACTAAAACACTTTACATTATACTGTTATTGGACAATCATTTATTTAAAATATCCTAAATACTTACAAAAATAAATCAAATATTGCTTCTATTTTTCAAGTGTCAAAGTCTTTGCCATGGAAAATAGAAAGGACCTTTTATAAACTAAACATTACAATTAAGCTACATCACGTTTAATAACTGCACACCATTGTCTTTTGCAGTTGTGCTTTAGTGCTTTACAAATTCCCAAACGACGTTTTCGCAATGTACAGGTTCACAATAAGACTGTATACATACAACCATATACACTCATTTTACACAGGAATGGTTCTTGTTAAATATACACAGAGAGAACCTAACACAGTAATATTGGGCCCTATAAGCCACCCCAAAGAGCCAGGTGTGCCACTATACAGTAACAGGTATAGGTGTACAAACATTATCTAACATTCAAATCAGCACTCCATATCCAAGATGATACCTTCATGAGGAATGCCCAGTTTAATGTTTCTAGACAAGAATTTAATTCTTTTCTGTTGTTGTTAAATCTCACCCGAAGATAATTTTTTCCATTGATTATTAGAGAAAGTAGAAGAGAGGGTAGGAGGGGGAAGATAATGGGGGGAAGAAGAAGAGAGAGAGAGAGAGAGAGAGAGAGAGAGAGAGAGAAATATTGGCTGGTTGCTTGCCACATGCACCCGAACCTGGACTGGGGATCGAACCTGCAACCCAGGTATGCACCCTTGACAGGGAATTGAACCAAAGACCCTTTGGTGCATGTGCCAGTGCTCTAACCACTTAGAAACACTAGCCAGGGCAAGACATAAATTCTTAATCTATACTAAATCATTAGTTCAACAGCCTTATTTATTAAAAAAAAAAATACAGTGAACTTAAAATATTTCTCAATACTTTAAGTTAATCTCAGGGTAAACATCATTGCCATATGTATACATACTTTTCATTTTAAAAAGAGAAAGTAATATTAATTATACAACAAATGCTCAAAATAAAGATCATTTCCAAATGGTCTATGGTTTTACTTTATTATCACTGGGCCATTCAACTCATTACCACATAATAAATGCTAAATTTCTCTTCCCTGGTATATGCACTTAAGCATCACTTATAACACAGACATATATAAATCATGTTTATGAGGAATATTTATAATGCTTTACCACCCACAGGGTGTCAATCTCACTCTATTAACCAGATGTGGAAAACAATCTCACTTCTGATCAATTCCTGAATTTCCATATGATTAATCACAATAATATAGAACTTTAAATTACATTAGTCTTGTATAAATACTTAAGTATCAAGCAATTTAAATTCTACTTATAAACTAGAAAAGTAGTAAATCACAAAATTTGCTTTTTCTCTATTAAGATAAAAGAATCTAGCTTATTCATAAATTGCACAAATTACGTAGAAATTCCAAGTATAATCGAAAATTTGTGAGCAATAGAATTGTGAAAATATTAATTTATTGGCATTGATGTTTTACAATAACTTTCAGTAAAAGGGAGTTTGACAAGGTTGTTTATTTTCAATTATAAGCAAGTAGTAAATACCAAAGGAGCTCATGTCTTACACTGACCAAAATATTCTAAAATGCCATATATTTAGAAAATTTTAATTGGCATGCTAATACATTTTCATTTCACCAAAAGTCACAGGCACACAGAGACTATAAGGCTATATGAAGAAGCAAACCAACTATAAAACCGCACTGAAAAAAGACACCAAAATCTAAGAGGTAGTCAACAGAAGTAACCCTTATAAAACAAAATATCCTGACAGATGTGCCCTAATCTAAGAGACCAAAATACAGTATGGAAGCAATTCTTGTATTTTCAGTAATTAAAAGAAAAATTACTGGTAGAGAATCAAAAAACCAAGAATCTAAATAAGTAACATTGCAAATGGAACAATATTTATATTTTCAAGGAAAGGCTAACAATAAACTCTAGACCCAAGGAGGTCTACAGCCTGCAGGCCAAATCTGACCTAACACCAGTCTTTGTAAGTAAAGTTTTATTGAAATACATCCACACCTATTTGGTTTACATACTGTGTATGGCTACTGCTTTCATACTTAAGGGCAGAGCTGATTTACCTGCTACTGATCACATGGCCAACACCACCTAAAGTTACTACTATCTGCCCCTTTACAGAAAAGTGTGCTGACCCCTGCCTGGTCTATGCACAAGCGGATAAGTGTGCAGCTGCTGAAAAATACTGGAAAGATGAACTATGAATGTCACAACACAAGCTATTCCACTTTAAGTAATGCAAATGCTAGTTTTTGCCACAATTCCTTTTCAT